ATAAGAATATTTATGGCAATAGTTGACCCTTAATTTGACTGCTGTATACATCTTTCTATTTTTAGCAATACTTGGGACATTTTATTTAAATTATTTTTGCAATGAAAATCCTACCTAATAAAAGAATAATATGCAAATTAACCATCACTCCACTACACCCACCAGCCATGCCCATGAGCCAATCAGAGCGAGTATGCAAATAAACCCAATCAAGATGGCTACCAGCCACAGAGAGCAGGAGAGAGGCTTGGGTTTCCCAGGCAACGGAAGAAGCCAAACTTTCTGCCTGTCCTTGCCGGTCTAGGCTTCCACTCAAGGATACAAAATTTGAATTATAGAAGGTAAACAAATCCAAATAGAAATGGCTGCCAGCCACAGAGCAGGAGGCTTGACTCTGCTCCAGGCTATAAAGTTTCAATTTTAGAAGGTAAATAAATTCCAGATACCAGGGCCTCTGCTTGGGCCACCAGGGCACATGGCTGGCCTACAAAGCACCACAGGCCTCTCGCCCAGGCTGCCCCACACCCCAAGGGAACCCCCACTCTGATCCAGGACACCCTTCAGGGCAAACCAGCTGGCCCCCACCCATGCATCAGGCCTCTATCCTATATAATAGAAGAGTAATATGCAGTTTGATCATCACTCTAACACACAATAGCTGCCCCCATGTGGTCAAAGATCCTTGCCCGATGTGGACACAAGATGGCCAGCAGGTGAGGGCAGTTGGGAGGGACCAGGCCTGCAAAGAAGGGTAGTTGGAGGCGATCAGCCCTGCAGGGGAGGGCAGTTAGGGGTGACCAGGCCAGCAGAGGAGGGAAGTTGGGGGCAAACAGGCTGGCAGGGGAGCAGTTAGCCATCAATCAGGTTGGCATGGGAGTGTTTAGGGGGTGATCAGGCTGGCAGGCAGAAGCAGTTAGAGGCAAGAAGTCCTAGATTTTGAGAGGGATGTCTGACTGCTGGTTTTGGCCTGATCCCACTGGGATTGGGTCTAAATGGGCAGTCAGACACCCCTTCAGAGGTTCCAGATTGGAGAGTGTGCAGGCAGGGCTGAGAGACACCCCCCTCCTCCCGGCCTGTGCACGAATTTTGTGCACCAGGTCTCTAGTGTATTATATTACTCTATGAATAAGGATAGTTCTTACCCAATTTATATTATTGTTATTGAATAGGACATCTTAAATTTGAAGGTTTTCTAATATAGGGGTTTTCATTTTACTTCAAATCAGTCAGTATTTCATCTATTTTACACTGAACTAATCGCTTTTAGGGATGTAAAGATGAGTAAGATATAAATCTGTCTCACAAAGGTTATTTCTTTTTTTTTTTTTTAATCAATCTTTATTGTTCATATTATTACAAAGGTTCCTTATTTCTTCCCCCCTCCACCAGGTTCCCACCCCACCCTCTGCCCTTTTCCCACCCCCCATTGTCTTCATCCATAGATGCACAGTTTATGTTCAATCTCTTCCAGCATCCACCACTCCCCTTTTCCCCGAGAATTGTCAGTCCACTCCCCTCCCGTATCTCTGATTCTATTATAATCAACAGTTAATATTGTTCATCAGGTTTTTAAATTTCCTTATTTTTTAATTAATAAACTTCTATATTTTTAAGAATAAATTTTAAAATCTAATAATTTTAAACCTTGTTTTTTCTGCCCTGGGAACTGAGAAGCAAACTTGTTTACATGTAAACTTGCCCTTAGGCTATCAAAAGGCGTAGACATTCAAGTGTAAATGAACAAATTGTTTAAAGATAGCTGCTGGCTGGAATTGGATTACCTGTTCTGGGTGGGAAGGGCTTGTCCTCCCCTTTCTCCATTAAAATTAAGGTGTTAGCTTTAAAACCTCCTTTTGGCAAGAGACATTAAACTTTCAGAACTTTAAATTTTTCAGGTAGTAAATCAATTACTTAGTATTTTCTCAAATCAATAATACCTCCACATGCCCAAGGATACACTTCACACAAAAGACATTTCCAAATAGATCAACCAACCTCATCCAGATCCCACAAAGGCGCTCACAGATCAACACCGCAGCGCTACAACTACTCAACACATCCAGATCTAAGCCTCCATCACTTGATTCAGCAGACCCTCAAGTTCTCCCAAAAGTTTCCAGCCATGTCTGAGAAGCATCCCTGGGGCATGGCAGGCAAGGAGCGAGCTGTACCGGGCCCAGCTGCTCCGGGCCTGGCCTTTGTTGCTCCGGGCTACTCCACAACCAGCTGCTCCGGGTCTGGCTGCTGCTGCTTTGGGCCTAGATGCTTCTTCGGGCCTGGCCGCTCCCAGCCTGGCTGCTCTGGGCCTGGCTGCTGCTGCTCCGAGCCTGGCTTAGCTGCTCCCGACCTGGCTGCTCTGAACCCAGTTGCTTCGGGCCTGGCCGCTTCGGGCCTGGCCGCTCCGGGTCTGGCCGCTCTCAGCCTGGCTGCTCTGGGCCTGGCTGCTGCTGCTCCGAGCCTGGCTTAGCTGCTCCCGACCTGGCTGCTCTGAACCCAGTTGCTTCGGGCCCGGCCGCTCCCAGCCTGGCTGCTCCGGGCCTGGCTGCTGCTGCTCCGGGCCTGGCTGCTCTGAGCCCGGCTGCTCCGGGCCCGGCCGCTCCGGGCCTGGCCACTCTGAGCCTGGCTGCCACCACTCCAAAATTTTGTCTTTTTTTTTTTTTTAAACGCATTTATGTTGCAATGTTGGCTGCTGAATTTAGTTCTGTTTTAATCTTCGATTTTTCAAGATCTTCTTTGTATTCTTTCTTAAGTAATTTTACTATCTTTTTGCTATAACTTGATTTCTTCACATTGAAAACTTCTTCAGTTTCTTCCTTCTTGTTCTAGAAGCTCAGCAGGCTGGCCCGCGGTGCCCCTTTGTTCTCCTCGGCCTCCTGCGCAGCTTCAGCCGGTTGCCGGGGTCGGTGCCACCCAGGAAGCAGCCCCTGGCCTCGGCTCTGTGGCCGGCAATCAGCGGTCGAGGGCCCGGCGGCACCCCCCCCGCCCAGGGCCCTGTTGCCTGGCTCCTTGCCGGCGCCCGGCGGCGGCTCCAGCTCCTCATTGCGCTCCTCCCAGCCTGGAGCCTTTGTCTCCTTCCTGCTAGGGGCTTCTAGCATCAGAGTCAACAGATCGTCATTCTGCACGCAATGTGCGTGACTCCGGGGGCTCTGCCCTTCGCCGCTCCCCTGGGATTCTGCCTCACATCCCAGGATCCCTCTGTTTAAGCCTGGGTCCCCAGGTTCTGGCCTAGAACTGGGGTTCAGAGCAGTTGGAACTGGGGCTCAGCACAGCCTGAGCTTTCGTCTCCTTCCCGCCAGGGCAATCGAGCATCAGAGTCAACCTTCCATCCTCTGTGCACATGTGCGCAATGTGCACGACTCTGGGGGCTCTGCTTTTTGCCTCTCCCCTGGGATTCCGCCTCACAGCCCCGTCTCCCTCTGTTTGAGCCTGGGTCCCCAGGGTCTGGCCTAGAACTGGAGTTCAGCGCTGTCGGACTGGGGTTCAGCCCAGTCTGGAGCTTTTATTTCCTTCCTGTTAGGGAACGCCAGCCAGGTACTCAGCCTTCCCCTCCTTTCCAGCTCTGTCCTCTCCGCGCACGTGCGCAGCATGTCTCCATATCTTAGGCTTTTGCAGCTCCGCTGATTTTCCTTCTGGTTTTCTCTTTCCTTCTTGTTGTAGGAATTTTCAGTCAGTCGACTTCCTGTAGCCCTGGGCAATGTCCATTTTATATTTTAGTTGTATTTTATTGAAATTGTTGTGTGCGGCTGCGGTTAGGTGTTTACCTGTGTAGCCATCTTGGATCCTCCCATCCCATCTTTTCACAAAGGATATTTCTTTCTGTAATCTGCTAAATAGTGTTTGAAACATGTTTTTTTTTTTTTTCTGTATTGATTTTTAATATATCATAAGTTAGTATTAGGAGAATTTCAGAAAGCATATTACTTTCTGAAGGAGTTCCTGGAAGTGAGTGGTAGCCATGTTCAGTATACAAGTAGATGTTTTAGGACCCTTATTTGAATGACATACAATTTACATCTTTATAATGATAGAGCCATATTTTCCAGTCTTTCAATGTATATATGAAAGAAATAGTATGGATTTGATCCAGTTATGTCGATGTATATATGAAAGAAATGGATTTGATGTTGTGATGAGTCCTGGAATAGATCTCAAACCTTATCTCAACCCATCTTTCTACAGAAAAGGAAGAAACACAGGATTCTAAACTCAAAGGCTAACAGGACTTTCTGAATGGAGAGGTCTCAGTTTAACACTGCAAGCCCATTGATAAATAACAGCTTTTAGTTGGTCGGAATTTTTGGGCAATTGAGTGGATAAAAGCTCCTGTTCACTATAACTTGTTGTTCCTGTGTAGGATTATGGGCCTGGTTTTGCTCTATCTTACTTTTCAAGAGAATCCAGAATTATACATAAATACAAATGTATGTGTGTATAAAAAGTAAATGAAGTCTTTCCAATTTTATTATTAGTATTATTCATTTTTTTTTTTTTTTATAACAAGCTGCATGGTCTGAACACTTTTCGTTATAGATTAGTTATACATGGTTGTGAAGTAAAATCAAAAAAGAGAAGGGATTTGTTTAATTTTTCCTTTTTTTTTTTTTTTAAGTACTGGACATATTGTAAACATGATAGGATGAGTTCTTCCATAGCATTTATTATAGCTTTTCCAAGTATAGTTTCTTTTTTCCTGAAGCCCTCCCAACCACTTTTCTCATAAATTTCTCCAAATTTTAATTTTGATTGGAGATGAAGGGACATTATGATGGGATTAATAGGACTAAAATATTTAACATAATTTACTATTTGAAAATTTGAAATTACTATGCTTAGATGAAAAATACAGCAGTAATTTTATAGATGTCAGCCAACTGTTACTGAAATTACACAAATGTTAGAACTATGGCTAAATTGCTAGAGTGAAACTCTAAAAGTACTTCATTAGTTTATCTAGTATCACTGTGAAATTAGATTTTGAGCAATTTTTAACTATGTTTTAGATTGTTAGAGACGGATAGTAAGTCTTTGAAATCTGTAAATGGGTCAAGAAGAAACAGTGGCTCCTCCCTTGTGTCAAGTTCATCAGCCTCTAGCAACCTCAGCCACCTTGAAGAAGATTCTTGGATACTTTGGGGAAGACTTGTTAATGAATGGGAAGATGTGCACAAAAAGAAGGAAAAACACATTAAGGTATTCATATTCTTTGTTGAAGTTCTTTCTCTTATTCCAAAGGGAATCATGCGTGGATTGATAGAGGATTAAAATTCAGATTTAACTACTTTCCAAGTACTATAATAAACAAGTGTCCTTTATATGTTTTCATTTATTTGTCCTCATAGAATTTTTGATTTGTAAATATCAGTTATTATAGAAGTCTCCTAATTGTAGAAATATATAGGTAGGAAAGTTATTTTAGAGATAAAATTCTATCATTTTATAGATTTAGAAATGAAGTTGTGACACCCTATTTGCATTTTTAATACATAACCGTTTTATTTTTTGGTCTGATAACAGCCCTTTATAAGATGATGGTTATTGTACTGCCATTCACAGCTCTGAGTCCTTAGTACCTTTAGAGATCATACTTTGAGTGAGATTCTAAGAATTTATAACATTATAGCCCTTCCTTCCCCAGCCAGAACAGGACACCCCCAGGGGCCAAATCTTAGTATTGGTTAAAAGGTTCCCAAGACTTGTAAAACTAGCTTTGTGAATTATAAACTTTATTAAAGTTTTCCACTCTTTCAAACCCTAATAAGTCTTCTTTGGTTTTCAAGGTAGGAGACTTAAATAATTCATTTAAAAAATTTACTTTTATTTTTAGGAACTTGTTCGTAAAGGGATACCCCACCATTTTAGAGCAATAGTTTGGCAACTTTTATGCAGTGCACAAAGTATGCCAATCAAGGATCAGTATGCGGAACTCCTGAAAATGACTTCGCCTTGTGAAAAATTGATCCGGAGGGACATTGCTAGAACTTATCCCGAACACAATTTTTTTAAGGAAAAAGATAGCTTTGGACAGGAGGTTTTATTTAACGTAATGAAGGTAAGTTCTATTTATTTTTCGAAATGAAGTGACTTCTCAGAAGGTTGAAAGTATACATTTTCCACAATGAAGCATGAACTCTCACCCAGATAATCAGTTGCCTTGGCAATAAATATGGCTTTAGCATAATTTTTGTTTTAATACTGATGCTACATTACAGTCTAGTTTAGAGAACTTATTAGAAGAACTTAATAGAAGAACTTATTATTACATTGCTCAGAATTAGTTGGCCAAAATCAAATAGCCTAGAAATCACTATACATTGAGAGATCCCCTATGAAAATGAATATTCACCTTCTATGAGTTTCACTATTTGGGAACACATTTTTCTTTTTTTTTTTTTTTTTTTTTTTTTTTTTTTTTTTTTTAATCAATCTTTATTGTTCATATTATTACAAAGGTTCCTCATTTCTTCCCCCCTCCACCAGGTTCCCCCCCCACTCTCCATCCCCCCCCCATCCCCCATTGTCCTCATCCATAGGTGCAGTTTATGTTCAGTCTCTTCTTCCCTCAATTTCCCCAATAGTAAATCCCTTTTCAGATAGTAAATCAGTTACTTAGCATTTTCTCATATCAATAATACCTCCACATGTCCAATGATACACTTCACACAAAAGACATTTCCCACTAGGTCAACCAGCCTCATCCAGGCCCCACCCAAGGCACTCACAGATCAACACCCCAGTCCTAAACTAACGCAACACATCCAGATCTAAGCCTTCACCACTTCATTCAGCAGACCCTCAAGTTCCCACAAAAGTTTCCAGCCATGTCTGAGAAGCAGCCGTGGGGCAGGGGCAGGCAAGGAGCGAGCTGTTCTGGGCCAGGCTGCTCAGGGCCTGGCCTCTGTTGCTCTGGTTCATTCCACAACCAGCTGCTCCGGGTCTGGTCACTGCCGTTCCCGACCTAGTTGCTCTGGACTTGGCTGCTGCTACTCCGGGCCTGGCCGCTCCCAGCCTGGCAGCCGCTGCTCCGGGCCTGGCCGCACCCGACCCGCCTGCTCCCCCGGGCCTGGCCGCTCCCAGCCTGGCAGCCGCTGCTCCGGGCCTGGCCGCACCCGACCCGCCTGCTCCCCCGGGCCTGGCCGCTCCCAGCATGGCAGCCGCTGCTCCGGGCCTGGCCGCACCAGCCCCGGCTGCTCCCCCGGGCCTGGCCGCTCCCAGCCTGGCAGCCGCTGCTCCGGGCCTGGCCGCACCCGACCCGCCTGCTCCCCCGGTCCTGGCCGCTCCCAGCCTGGCAGCCGCTGCTCCGGGCCTGGCCGCACCCGACCCGCCTGCTCCCCCGGGCCTGGCCGCTCCCAGCCTGGCAGCCGCTGCTCCGGGCCTGGCCGCACCCGACCCGCCTGCTCCCCCGGGCCTGGCCGCTCCCAGCCTGGCAGCCGCTGCTCCGGGCCTGGCCGCACCAGCCCCGCCTGCTCCCCCGGGCCTGGCCGCTCCCAGCCTGGCAGCCGCTGCTCCGGGCCTGGCCGCACCAGCCCCGCCTGCTCCCCCGGGCCTGGCCGCTCCCAGCCTGGCAGCCGCTGCTCCGGGCCTGGCCGCACCAGCCCCGCCTGCTCCCCCGGGCCTGGCCGCTCCCAGCCTGGCAGCCGCTGCTCCGGGCCTGGCCGCACCCGACCCGCCTGCTCCCCCGGGCCTGGCCGCTCCCAGCCTGGCAGCCGCTGCTCCAGGCCTGGCCGCACCCGACCCGCCTGCTCCCCCGGGCCTGGCCGCTCCCAGCCTGGCAGCTGCTGCTCCGGGCCTGGCCGCACCAGCCCCGCCTGCTCCCCCGGGCCTGGCCGCTCCCAGCCTGGCAGCCGCTGCTCCGGGCCTGGCCGCACCAGCCCCGCCTGCTCCCCCGGGCCTGGCCGCTCCCAGCCTGGCAGCCGCTGCTCCGGGCCTGGCCGCACCCGACCCGCCTGCTCCCCCGGGCCTGGCCGCTCCCAGCCTGGCAGCCGCTGCTCCGGGCCTGGCCGCACCAGCCCCGCCTGCTCCCCCGGGCCTGGCCGCTCCCAGCCTGGCAGCCGCTGCTCCGGGCCTGGCCGCACCAGCCCCGCCTGCTCCCCCGGGCCTGGCCGCTCCCAGCCTGGCAGCCGCTGCTCCGGGCCTGGCCGCACCAGCCCCGCCTGCTCCCCCGGGCCTGGCCGCTCCCAGCCTGGCAGCCGCTGCTCCGGGCCTGGCCGCACCAGCCCCGCCTGCTCCCCCGGGCCTGGCCGCTCCCAGCCTGGCAGCCGCTGCTCCGGGCCTGGCCGCACCAGCCCCGCCTGCTCCCCCGGGCCTGGCCGCTCCCAGCCTGGCAGCCGCTGCTCCGGGCCTGGCCGCACCAGCCCCGCCTGCTCCCCCGGGCCTGGCCGCTCCCAGCCTGGCAGCCGTTGCTCCGGGCCTGGCCGCACCAGCCCCGCCTGCTCCCCCGGGCCTGGCCGCTCCCAGCCTGGCAGCCGCTGCTCCGGGCCTGGCCGCACCAGCCCCGCCTGCTCCCCCGGGCCTGGCCGCTCCCAGCCTGGCAGCCGCTGCTCCGGGCCTGGCCGCACCCGCCCCGCCTGCTCCCCCGGGCCTGGCCGCTCCCAGCCTGGCAGCCGCTGCTCCGGGCCTGGCCGCACCCGACCCGCCTGCTCCCCCGGGCTTGGCCGCTCCCAGCCTGGCAGCCGCTGCTCCGGGCCTGGCCGCACCAGCCCCGCCTGCTCCCCCGGGCCTGGCCGCTCCCAGCCTGGCAGCCGCTGCTCCGGGCCTGGCCGCACCAGCCCCGCCTGCTCCCCCGGGCCTGGCCGCTCCCAGCCTGGCAGCCGCTGCTCCGGGCCTGGCCGCACCCGACCCGCCTGCTCCCCCGGGCCTGGCCGCTCCCAGCCTGGCAGCCGCTGCTCCGGGCCTGGCCGCACCCGACCCGCCTGCTCCCCCGGGCCTGGCCGCTCCCAGCCTGGCAGCCGCTGCTCCGGGCCTGGCCGCACCAGCCCCGCCTGCTCCCCCGGGCCTGGCCGCTCCCAGCCTGGCAGCCGCTGCTCCGGGCCTGGCCGCACCAGCCCCGCCTGCTCCCCCGGGCCTGGCCGCTCCCAGCCTGGCAGCCGCTGCTCCGGGCCTGGCCGCACCCGACCCGCCTGCTCCCCCGGGCCTGGCCGCTCCCAGCCTGGCAGCCGCTGCTCCGGGCCTGGCCGCACCAGCCCCGCCTGCTCCCCCGGGCCTGGCCGCTCCCAGCCTGGCAGCCGCTGCTCCGGGCCTGGCCGCACCAGCCCCGCCTGCTCCCCCGGGCCTGGCCGCTCCCAGCCTGGCAGCCGCTGCTCCGGGCCTGGCCGCACCAGCCCCGCCTGCTCCCCCGGGCCTGGCCGCTCCCAGCCTGGCAGCCGCTGCTCCGGGCCTGGCCGCACCAGCCCCGCCTGCTCCCCCGGGCCTGGCCGCTCCCAGCCTGGCAGCCGCTGCTCCGGGCCTGGCCGCACCCGACCCGGCTGCTCCCCCGGGCCTGGCCGCTCCCAGCCTGGCAGCCGCTGCTCCGGGCCTGGCCGCACCCGACCCGCCTGCTCCCCCGGGCCTGGCCGCTCCCAGCCTGGCAGCTGCTGCTCCGGGCCTGGCCGCACCTGACCCGGCTGCTCTGGACCCGGCTGCCCCGGGCCCGGCCGCTCCGAGCCTGGCCACTCCCGACCTGGATGCTCTGGGCTTGGCTATTGCTGTTCTGGGTCTGGCTGCTCCCACCTCGGCTGCTCTGGGCCCGGCTTCTTCGGGCCCGGCCACTCCGGGTCTGGGTGTTCCTGGACTGGCCACCCTGGGCTTGGCCGCCTCCGCCTCATGCCTGGCTGCCACTGCCCCAGGTCTGGCTACTCCAGTGCTGGCTGTTGATGCTCTGGTTCTGGCTGCTGTTGTTCTGGGGCCTGGCCGTTGCTGCTCCGGGTCTGGCTGCCACTGCCTTGTGCCTGGCCACTCTAGGCCTGGCCGTCGCTGTTCCAACATTCTGTCCTTTTTTTTTCTTTTTAAAACGCATTTATGTTGCAATGTTGGCTGGTGAGTTGAGTTCTGACTTAGTCTTTGATTTTTCAAGATCTTCTTTGTATTCTTACTTAAGTAATTTTACTATTTTTTGCTCTCATTTGATTTCTTCACATTGAGAACTTCTTTGGTTTCTTCCTCCTTGTCCTGGGAGCTCAGCAGGTTGGCCTGTGGCACCCCTTTGTTCTCCGCGGGCTCCTGCGCTGCTTCAGCCTGTTGCCGGGACGGCGCCGCCCAGGAAGCAGCCCCCGGCCTTGGCTCCATTGCCCGAGCTCAGTGGTCAAAGGCTCAGGGGCACCCAGGCCCCCAGGGGCCTCGTGGCCCGCCTCCTTGCTGGTGCCCGGTTGGCTGGAGTCCGGCAGGGGCTTCCGCTCCCCTCCGTGTTCCCCCAGCCTAGAGCTTTTTTTTTCTCCTTCCCGCTAGGGAAGTCCAGCATCAGAGTCAACAGACTGTCCTCTACGAGCAGTTTGTGCGAGTCCCACAGACTGTCCTCTGCGCGCAGTTTGCGCGAGTCCCACAGACTGTCCTCTGCGCGCAGTTTGCGCGAGTCCCGGGGGCCCGGCCTTTCGCCGCTCTCCCCGGACTCCACCTCACAGCCCCGTCTCCCTCTGCCTGAGCCTGGGTCCCCAGGGATTAGCCCAGAACTGGGGTTCGGAGCAGTCTGGACTGAGGCTCAGCGCCGCCGGAGGCCTTGTTTCTTCCGGCTAGGGCAACCCAGCATCAGAGTCAACATTCAGTCCTCTGCGCGCATTGCGCGCGACTCCCGGGGCCCTGCCTTTTGCCATTTTTCCGCCTCACGTCCCTGTCTCCTCCCGCCGGAGCCTGGGTCCCCAGGGTCTGGCCCATAACTGGGGCTCAGCGCTGCCGGTTCGGGGGGGCTCAGCGCTGCCGGTTCGGGGGTTCAGCCCAGGCTGGAGGTTTTATTTCCTTCCTGCTAGGGAAGGAAAGGCGGCTCCCCGCCCTCTCCTCCTCTCCGGCTGCGACCTCTCCGTGCGCGCGTGCGGGCAGGCAGGCGCGCGCAGCATGTCTCCGTACCTTAGGCTTTTTTTCAGCTCCTCTGATTTTCTTTCTGGTTTTCTCTTTCCTTCTTGTTGTAGAAATTTCAGTCAGTCGACTACCTGTAGCTCTGGGCAATGTCCACTCTACATTTTAGTTGTATTCCATTGAAATTGTTGTGTGCTGCCGCGGCTAGATGTCTACCCGAGCAGCCATCTTGGATCCTCCCTCGGGAACACATTTTTCTATTTGCTGCGGTCAGTGTTATTAAGAGCGCTTAGCCACTGAAAGTCTGTGCCACTGTAATTTTTCTTCAGTATTCCCTTTTCCTTTTTCATAGTATCTTTCCCTTACAACTACCCCTGTGAAATACTGGTTTCTTATTAAACCATTTATATTTTGCCAAAGCTTTTTTTTACCTTGTGGAATTATTTTTATTTAATATACATATTAAATTATTTTTAAGTATTGTTACTTTCCCAAGTACAAACTTCTTTCTCTTTTTGCCCTCATGAATTGTTAGTTTCTAATTGGGGAATTGTCAAAAGAAAAAATGATATAATTATTTGCTTATTAAATATTTATAGTATAACATTTACAACAAGCAACTAAGAGTTTTTCTAAAAAATAGTCTTGTTTTATTATTTTTAAGTTTTTAGAGAAGGAAAGTATAATATATTAAAGTATTTTGAATAATATTTTTTGCTTTTTAGGCATATTCTCTAGTGGATCGTGAGGTTGGTTACTGTCAAGGAAGTGCTTTTATAGTTGGATTGCTGCTTATGCAGGTAAGGTAGTACAAGTGTTAAATGTCCAATTAAGTTATTTCTTAAACTTGCATTGAAGAATTTAAAAAGTATCCTTTAAAAAAAAAAATTAAATGTAAGTTGCTATTGGACATTTTTTCCTAGGCACAATTTAATTAAGAGTATTTAAAAGACTACTAAAATTGTTGAAAATAACATGCTATAATGTCCTCCACTAAATGAAATTTCATCTCTTTGGTATTTACATTTGGACCACAGTATTTATAAATGCCTGTAAATACTTTTATATCTTGATTTACATGTCAATATTTAAGGAGAAATAATCTTTTCTCAACCAGGGAAAACATGATTCAAGTGTTGGTATGCAGTGTTATGTTGTACAATATCTTAGGAAATTATATATGACTTTTATTTGTCATGGAGCTGAGGACTTGTTATAGGCTCTAAGTATGGTACTCATTCACTCCAGGGATATGGTATATATTTCTGTTGGCAGTGACTTCTTTTGGAGTGGGTTTGGATGGGATGTTTTCAGAAGTCAGGGACAGGCTAATCTTAGCTTTGAAGGGAAATGTCATAGAGTGGTTATCTGTTCAGCCTTGTTAAAAACATTTAAAAAGTCCATCATATTTTATATGTATCTCAGATTAAAATATAGTCTGAAAGGAAACCTTGGAAATAATTTGATTTGAATTACATAGGCCGGTTTTTGCATCTTAATTCTGCACTGAGTTCTGTGAATCTGGATTAGATTATTTAACCTCTCTCTGAGTCTTAATTAGGTCATTTTGTCTACTTTGAGATTCATTGTGAGGGCTATATGATGTAATGTATGTAAAAGCCTAGCAGATGTTTGGCACATAGTAGATAGACAATAAAAATTAAATGACTTCCCAACATTACATATCATGATAGAGAAAAGCAGAATAAGATTCAAAAACTATGTTTCCTAATACTTAGCTTCAATTAGCTAACAGTTCTACCTGAGTTTTAAAGCTCTATAAGTATTATGGCTGTACACATTTTTGAGTCTCAAAAACTTGATGTCAGAGACACTGGTTTATAATAAAAATGAGTGGTTTTTACTTTGCTTTATAATAGAAGAATTGCACCCAGAAGTTGTTATTGCAGGATATCTCTAACATTAGGTTATAAATAATAAGGAAAACAAAACAAAACTAGAAATGTTAATGTTGGAAGTATAGCTGTTTTACAACATTGTGATTTTCCTAATTTGTAATTGATTAGTATTGGTAGGCCTTTCACTGTTGAACTCAAACATCTCTGTTATAAGTCCAGAGACTTTTGTCACAATTCTGTTTCTTTTACTTTCATATTAGCTCCAAAATAACATTTGTATTGATGATCTAAAAAGCAGTTTTTCTCTACTTGAGCTGAGTCAGTCCTCCAACAGCTGACCTAGCTAGCTCCTAGGATGCCTAAGGAGCCGTCACATTTTTTCTTCATGACGCTGCAGGCAGGGCTGGTGGCAATGCTCACTTTTATTCAATTACTAGAGGCCCAATGCATAAAATTCGTGCAAGAGTAGGCCGTTGCAGATGCGGTGGCTGCCTTGATTCCTCCCTCCTAGCCGAAGAAGCAGGTGCCTGGATCTCTCTCTGGCAGCCGGAGGTGGCTGCCTGGATCCCTCCCTCGAAGCTGCCTGCTGGATCCTGCCACTGCAGCCTTGGCTTCGTCCCAGAAGGACATCTGAAAGGACGTCCAGTCTAATTAGCATATTAGGCCTTTATTATTATGGATTGATTTACTGTTGTCACTTGCAGCTATTATACCACTAACACAATAATTTAATAGCCCAGGGCCCTAAGCTCGGAAGTGTGGTACAACCAAATTCAGAAGCCCTTCTCTTTATTTCTAAAGCTTATTTTCTTACACCGTATGCTGTATTGCCTCCCACAACTAGCTTAAGAATGTTTTCACAGGAGAGGGGGAATTAAGAGATCAACCAAAGGACTTCTATGCGTGCATATATAAGCATAACCAGTGTACACAGCCATGTGCTGGGGGTGGGAGTGGCCGGGGAGAGGTCAGTGGGGGAAAAGGAACATTTATAATGTCATATGTAATACTTTATACAATAAAGAATTTTTAAAAATAAAAAAGAATGTTTTTACTGCCCTGGCCGGTTTGGCTTAGTGGATAGAGTGTCAGCCTACGGACTGAAGAGTCCTGGATACGATTCTGGTCAAGGGCATATGGCCGGGTTATGAGCTCAATCCCCAGTAGGCTTGAGCCTGGGACCCTTTAGTCCACAGATGCTCTTAGGCATCCTGTAGAGCTAGCTAGGTCAGCTGTTGGAGGCAGCTGATCAATGATTCTCTTGTATCATTGATGTTTCTATTTCCACTCTCCCTTCCTCTCTGAAATCAATAAAAATATATTTTAAAAAAATCTGTAAAAAATGTTTTTTCAGCATTAGATTATTTAGTTCATGTTGTATTAAAATAGTTAAAGGTGTTGGGTATGTATGTTTTGTGTATATCTTAGTAGTCTATAAAATTAGGTAGATATGTCCCCATTAGACCTTTGCAAAGGATATGGATTCTTATTAACTGTCACAGAAAAAATATGTAGCAGTACAGTACTATAAGACTCAAATGGTCGTATTTTTTTCTAATAGAAAGGAATAACTAAAAAACAACTGGGTGATTGTTCTTCATATTTATATTTTATTTGATGTCACTCCTTTTCACTTTGTGAACATTGTTTTAATATTGGAGAAGGATCCAGTGACTCTTTGTCTATTGCCTTTTGGTCTTTTATACAATCACTTCAACTTTTTTTTTTTTTTAATATCGCAATTTTTAAACCTCTCCCAATTCCTATATTATTGCTATTACAGAGGAGAGAGGGATTAAACTTTTAAAAAAAATTGATTTCAGAGAGGAAAGGAGAGGGGGAGAGAGAGAGTGTAACATCAACGATTAGAGAGAATTATTGATCTGCTGCCTCCCGCATGGCCCCCACTGGGGATTGAGCCTTCAACTTGGACATGTGCCCTTGACTAGAATTGAACCTGGGACTCTTCAGTCCACAGGTCAATGCTCTGTCCACTGAGCCAAACCAGTTAGGCGGGATGAAACTTTTTTTTTTCTTTGCAGAAGGGAGGAGAGATAAAAACATCAATAATGGGAGTGGCTGAAACAGGTTTGGCTCAGTGGATAGAGTGTCGGCCTGTGGACTGAAAGGTCCTGCGTTCGATTTCGGTCAAGGGCATGTACCTTGGTTTCGGGCACAACCCTGGGGGTGGGGTGTGTGTGTATGTGTGTGTGTTTGTGTGTACAGGAGGCAGCTGATCAATGATTCTCTCTCATCGATGTTTCTAACTCTCTATCCCTCTCCCTCTATGTAAAAAAATCAATAAAATATATTAAAAAAATGATGAGAGTGAATCATTGATTGGCTGTCCCCATACAGGAGACTGAGCCTTTAACTCAGGCATGTGCTCCAACTGTGACCTCCTGGTTCATAGATTGATGTTCAGCCACTGAATCATGCTGCCTGGGTGGGATGAAACTTTTTTTGGTATGCTCACAAGAGAAGAAATTTTTGTAAGCCAAAAATGGGGAGATGAATTCGTACTGGGGTTGGAGGAGAAGTGGAGAAGGGAAGGTAGTGGTAGGAAATGGGATTGGAGAAGTGGTATGGGTCATGTCATATAGGACCTATAAAGATTGTGGCTCTTATTCAGGATATGAAAAGACACTGGAGAGGCTTTTTGCTTTGAGCAGTGGAGTGAAATGATTGAAATGATGAATTGGAAGGGTCACTCTGGCAGCTCCAGGATGAATGGAGAATAGGTTGTTGGGAAGGGAGCACAAGGGAGGCAGCAGAGTGGCCAGTGAGGAAGCTTTGCGGTTGCCCAGACCGTGAAATGCTACTCACTTGATAATGGTTTGGACTAGGTGTTATGTTGAGAAGTGGTTGATTCTTGAGATATTTTGGATGTAGAACCAGCAGATTGGATGTGGAGTAAAAGAGAAAGGAAGAATGATTACTCATAAGGTTTTTGAGCAGAAGTATTGGACAAGAAGTAGCTGGAAATTAGAAGTGTAATTTAGGAAATCTGTTGGACATCCAAAGTGGAGATATAAATGTGCAGGTGGAAATATGAGATGGAATTGGGAGGAATGTCCAGGCTGATAGATGGAAGAGAGAGACTAAAGGCTGTAAAAATGGGTTCAGATGCAGGTAGATGTGGTGTTGTGAGAATGGGCTAATTTTCTTATAATTGCTTCTATTAAAAAATATTGACTTAGCAAACAAGGTCATTAGAGACGAGTGGGAAGAAAGTTTGAAAAGCTCTAGAATGAGTGATTGAATTAGGAAATAAAGCATACCAGATAGCATTAAAGATCCACTGAGATTAGTGTTCCTAAATTCATAGTGAGACCAGCCAGCAGGGCTAAGTGTTTTCATTTTACCCATCCAGTCACTTTCAGCTTCCTAAATGTAGTTACAGGGTTGGATTTATCTAAAGGTGGAGTTTTGCAGTTGGGATTATAACTGAGAGAGAAAGACAAAGTAATTGTGGATTTAAGTGTGAATACATGTAACAGTTGTTAACGAAAAAAACCATTGAAACCTGTAAAGAATTTTGTAATGAGTTTATTTGAGCCAAAAATGTCGACAATTGCCGGGAAGCAAAACCTCAACAGATTGAGATAGTGCTCTGAAGAATGGTGGATTACATTTCTCTATTTATACACCGAAATCAAAGGAGGGACATAGGTGGGTTACATGAAATTCATTGGTGATGGAGTAAGGAGGCGGGAGAAAGCAAAGCGGTGGGAAACTCCTGGGATTGGATAAAAGTAAAATGATGAATGTATACTCAGGTGAGTGCAGGAACAATTAACATGATAAAGAAGGAATTTGAGGCATCTGTCCTGGCGCCCACCACATTTGGTTGTTCCCCAGGGGCTCCGGAAAAAGGGAAGTTACAAGTTACCCAGACGTCTCACAGATATGTTATCTTAGATGCAGGAAGGCAGAGGGGCTCAGTAAAAGATCAAAGTTGATCTTTGTCAGGTGAAATCTCTGGGACATGACTACCTACTATAACCTGTTAGATATTTAATTTTCAGACCATCTCTTGTGGTTATCTTAGTTAGGTCTCTGGGTTTGCAAAACTGCCACACAGGCCTTCCCTGAGCTTGTCAGGTTAGCTTGTGGCTCTTTTCTTTCACACAGTAAAGTGAGCAGAGTAGGGAGATGGGAACAGATTTAAGGTAGTGTATAAATGAATGAGAGGACTGCAAGGTCAGATCATTGTAAATACTTTATGTACATTAGTCTTCACTGCATCCCTGTGAAATAAGTGCTATTGTTATAACCATTTGATAGGTGGGAAAGCTGAGCAACTGAGAAGTTAAATAATTTGCTGAAGGTCCTACAGCTGTTAGTGGGAGTTGAACCTTAGGTGGAGTGGCTGTAGAGCCTGAGCTAGTAACTGCCTGCCAAGATCATTGGAGCACAGGAAGCCAGAGGTGTCCAAGGCCAGAGGTCTTTAATCCACATGAAAATGAGTGTGGTTTGAAGGGATGATCCACAGGTTTGTAGATGCTGTAAAAAAGAGGAGTCATGGGTAATGACTGCTGATATGTGTTTCAAGAGAATGAGGACTCAATGCTGTGGAAGTGGCAATGAGGTTCAAGAAGGCTACGTACCTCTCTACCCAGAGCTGCTTTCAGTGCTGTCGGGGGTAAAACAGTCACCTCGGCGGGGAGAGCCAGCTTTTGGTGCCAAATGTTCTTAAGGGAAAGCCAGATTTCAATGAGAAAACAAGGTGAAAGAACATTTTAATGGAGAAAGGGGAAGACAAGCCCTTCCCATCCAGAAGAGGTAATCCAATTCCACCAGCAGCTATCTTTAAACAATGTGTCCATTTACACTTGAATGGCTACACCTTTTGATAGCCTAAGGGCAAGTTTACATGTAAACAAGTTTGCTTCTCAATTCCCAGAGCAGAAAAAAAACAAGGTTTAAAATTTATTAGATTTTAAAATTCTATTCTTAGAAGTGTAAAAGTTTATTAATTAAAAACAACAACAACAACAACAACAACAACAAAAGGAGATTGAAAATCCTGATGAACAGTATTAGCTGTTGATTGTAGTAGAGTCCGCGATATGGGAGGGGAGTGGACTGACTGTTCTCGGGGGAAAGGGGGAGTGGTGGATTCCGGAAAGACGGAACATAAACTGTGCACCTATGGATGAGGACAATGGGGGGTGGGAACCCGGTGTAAGGGGGTTAGAAATGAGGAACCTTTGTAATAATATGAACAATAAAGACGGAGTTAAAAAAAAATATCCTAACAATATCCTCAGTCTCTCTATCAAATGTTGTCCGAGGGCTCCTGCACGGCTTCAGCCTGGGTCGGTGCGGCCTTGGCTCCCTGTCGAGGGCCCAGCGGCCCCCCCCCCCCCCGCCCCGGGCCCGGTCGCCTGGCTCCTTGCCGGAGCCCGGCTGGCTGGTGTCCGGCAGCGGCTCCTTCTCCTCATCGCGTTCCTCCCAGTCCGGAGCTGTTTTCTCCTTCCGGCTAGGGGCCTCTAGCATCAGAGTCAACAGACTGTCCTCTGCGCGCAATGTGCGCGACTCCGGAGGCTCTGCCCCTCACCGTTCCCCTGGGGTTCCGTCTCACAGCCCCGCCTCCCCCTGTTTGAGCCTGGGTCCCCAGGGATTGGCCTAGAACTGGGGTTCAGCGCTACCGGTTCTAGGGTTCAGCCTAGTCCAGGGCTTTTATTTCCTTCCTGCTAGGGTACGCCAGGCAGGCATCCAGCCTTCTCCTCCTCTCCAGCTCCTCCTTTCCAAGCTTGTGCGCAAGCAGCATGTCTCTGTACCTTAGGCTTTTTCAGCTCCTCTGATTTTCCTTCTGGTTTTCTCTTTCCTTCTTGTTGTAGAATTTTCAGTCAGTCGACTACCTGTAGCTCTGGGCAATGTCCATTTTATATTTTAGTTGTATTTTATTGAAATTGTTGTGTGCGGCTGCGGTTAGGTGTTTACCTGAGCATCCATCTTGGATCCTCTCCAGGGTATTTTGTTGATGGCAGATTATGAGTTCTATAAAGTTCTGTGGAAGAGGTTTTGGGAAGGTTGGAAGTGGGGTTAAATTAGGGGAGCAGTAGAATCACATAGGATGAGAATTCTGGGATGTTTTGTTTTTTTTTCAGTGACTTACTTAATGGGGTTGAAGGGTGTAAGAGGATTAATGATTATGGTTTCTAAGGCAGAATTGTGGTTATGTGTGTTGGAAGGGCGGAAGGAAGGGAGGGAGGGAGGAAAAAAGGAAGGGAGGGAGGAAAGGTTATACCAAGAGTAACTCTTGGGTCCTGTCTTGGTTGTGTCAACATGGCCAGGAAAAAAATATTATTATTGGAAGCAGTCTTCAGTGAAAAGAATGCTTAGAGATCCTTTGAGGTTTCCTCTTTTGAAACACACTGGTATAATGTGAGTGAATGAGCATTAGACAATTTTATCTTTTTGAGAAAGATGACTTAATAATTTAGGTAATTGTTACTTGCTTAAGTATTATGAATATCTGTGTAGCTCTTACAGAGCTTTTACATTCATTATCTTATTTGATATAATTTTCTAGTGAGTTATATAAATTGTGAAGTTGATATCTTTAAATCCCAATTACAGAATCTTTGAAAATGTATGTTTTAAATGTTCTTATAACACTTATACCATATCACTTCTGCTCAGAATGTTTAAAAGGGTTTCCTGTCTCATTTAAGGTAAAAGTCCAAATCCTAACAGTGGCCTCAAAGCCTGTGTAATTTGGTTCCCTGTTACTTATCCTTCATAACCCAACTACCACTTGTAACATTACGCCTACTGTATTAGTCCCCTGTTTGCTGTTCCTTGAGCATGCCAATCTTGATTCCATTTCAAGGCCTTTATATTATTCTCTTAGGACTGTTTTCCTCAGTAGTTCCCTTCAGTATTCTACTCTTCTGCCCAAATGCTATCATGGCACTTTGCCTAACCTAGGTAGGGAAAGTAAATAGCATCTCCACATTTTCCTGTTACTCTACTTTGCTTTATTTTCATAGCGCTCATAGCCATTTGACATGTATTAATTGATTTCTTCCATACATTGTCCTTTCCCCCCACAAGAAATTACAGAGTTGCTGATTATAGCAATTGTGTTTATTTTGTTGACTGGTAGAGAGGGGAGGGGGGAGTAGCTAACAAGTGAGATTGTTAGTCTCAGAGGTTGTTAGATTTGTCTAACTTTTCATTCGCTGTGATACATGGGAGATTACAACCTTCTGATTTTTAGTCTGTTGATCTTGACATTGTATCACATGGCCACTCAAAAACAATGTTTATAGTTGGATGGGTACTTAGTTTAAATAGACTTTAACTAGTGTATCACAGAACATTAACCTAATGTTGCTTTTTTCTCCTAATTTAGATGCCAGAAGAAGAAGCCTTCTGTGTATTTGTTAAATTAATGCAAGATTATAGACTTCGTGAACTTTTTAAACCAAGTATGGCAGAATTGGGCCTTTGTATGTACCAGTTTGAATGCATGATTCAGGTAAAAGTGTAGTGTTAAAAAAAAAGGAATATTGCCTTTATATTTTGTCATCTTGGTTTGAGTGACATCTGAGCATATTTAATGTTCAAAGTATTATAACAATTGAAAAAAATCAGTGTTTTAATCACATGATCATTTGTTGGTTGATTAACTCAATTTAGACCTACTTTTCATTTAGGCATTATCTGCAGATATTTGCACTATCACAGTTTGGAACTGACTGCAATTTTCACATTCAACCTTAAGCATATGTGCTAAATGTATTATAACCCCAGTAGAGGCCCAGTGCATGAAATTCATGCACGGGGGTATGTGTCCCTCAGCCCAGCCTGCATCGTCTTCTTTAGGGGACCCCTTGAGGGATGTCCAACTGCCCTGCCAGGATTGGGTCCAAAAGGGCAGTCTGACATCCCTCTCACAATCTAGGACTTCTGGCTCCCAACTGCTTGCTTGTCTGCCTTCCTGATTGCCCCTAACCACTTCTGCCTGCTAGCTTGATCACCCCTAACCACTCCCCTGCCAGCCTGATTGATGCCTCACTGCTCCCCTGCCAGCCTGATTGCCCCTAACTGCCCTCCCCTGCAGTCCTGGTCCCTACGTACCCCCTCCCCCCCAAACTGTCCTCCCCTGCAGGCTTTCCTCCCCCCCCCCCCCAACTGCTCTCTTCCCTGCAGGCCCAGTCGCCCCCAAGTTCCCTTCTCTGCAGGCCTGGTCCCCCTCAACTGCCCTCCCCTACAGGCTTGATTTTCCCCCAACTGCCCTCCTTTGCAGGCCTGGTCCCTCCCAACTGCCCTCCCCAGCTGGTCAACTTATGGTGGCCATTTTGTGTCCACATGGGGGTAGGATCTTTGACCACATAGGGGCAGCCATGTTGTGTGTTGGAGTGATAGTCAATTTGCATATTACTCTTTTATTAGATAGGATGGCCAAAATGCATGTTTTCTTATGACCTACTAGAGTCCTGGTGCATGAAATTCTTGCACTTGGGGAAGGGGTTCCTCAGCCTGGCCTGAGAACTTTTGCAGTCTGGGAGCCCTGGGGGGATGTCTGACTGATGGTTTAATGGGCCTAAGTCGACTAAGCATTGCCACATAGGCGGGAGAGGCTCCCACCACTGCCGCTGTGCTCTCCAGTTTCTGGCTGAGTGGTACTTCCTCTGTAGGAGCACACTGATCTCTAGGGGGAAGCTCTTGCATTGAGCATCTGCCCCCTGGTAGTCAGTGCACGTAATAGTAACTAGTCATTCTGCGGTCGGTAGATTTGCATATTAACCTTTTATTATATAGGATACACTGTAGATGAGTCCCCCTAGAACCATAAGAAATACAAAAAATTTACTGTTAACTCATTCTCGAATTGCCCCCACTTAAAATCAAATTGCCCCCCCTGTGGGGCATGCGCTGTGTCTTGGGAACCAGTGGGCTTGACACTTTTCCTCTCTGAGTTTCATTTCTGAATGAATACATATGCATATACCATGGGAATCGTAATCTCTTCTCCGCCTACCTCACTGGGTTGTCATGAGGAGGTTCTGAGCTAATAAACCTAGAGATGTTTCATCAAGTAAGTGATGTCTAAACGGGAAGGGATTGCTATTTTTAAACCCATAGGTATCCTCACAGGTAGCAGGTGCTAATTGGGGGAGGAGGGCATGATTGTTTCCTGGGACTGGGGCAGGGCACTAGGAGTGGGTGCTAGGAGGGCTGCGAGGCTGAAGGGGGAGTGACTGACAAACCTTCCCTATTGGTGCCATTCTTTAAATTGGATGTGGCTGTTTCACACCTGTACCTGCTCAGGGCGGGGCTCCAACCTCCTGGAGTGGGGTGGGAGCCAGGCCAGGGCGGAGCCAGGCGGGCTAGGAGGGTAGGTTTAGCTGCACCTCCAGCGAGGTTCAGCGTGCTTCCTCTGTGGAGACGGCACTGCTGATGACGGGGAAGGTTCTGACCCCGGGGGCTGCTCAGGCCTGCCTTACCTAGGTCTGGAGTTGTAGGGAGGAGAGGCGTTTCTGACCCCAGCGGAGGGGACCAGCAGTGGCGGCCTCGGGTGCCTTGGGCACTGACAGGTGTTCGCTGGTGTGCTGTTGTTGTGGGCACCCCTGGCCGGGGTGGTGGGGGAAGAGATTGGGAGTCAGAGTGCAGGCTGCAGCTATCCCCAAGGCTGGGTCTTCTCCCAGTCTGGTCAGCCTCCCTGTTCCCCCGGGGATGCGGGTGCTGGGGTAGGATGTCTGTCCGTTCGTCTTCCTGCCCCCCTGTGAGCAAGGCTAGGGTAGGATGTTTCCCCCCAAACCCCCTGGAAGTGCGGGGGCTAGGGTAGGGTGTCTGCCTGTTCCCCCGGGGGTGCGGGGGCTGGGGTAGGGTGTCTGTCTGTCCCCCCCGGGGGTGTGGGGGCTGGGGTAGGGTGTCCGTGCAGGAGAATTGAAAGAGATCCCCTGGCTGCTTCCTTTTCCTTCTTTGCAGTCCAGGCTCCTGTCAGGCTGTCTCCTCAGATCCCTGGGAACTTGGCTCTGGCTGCTCGCCCCCTGCTGCACACGCAGCCTCCTGCTGGTCTGTCAAAATGCAAATTGGTCGTTACTGGGACACCATAATGGACAATTAGCATATTACCTCTTTATATGTATAGATTATATCCTCTTATTGTTATGTAGACAAGGTTCTCTTCCCCCTGACAGGAGCCCATGATATCATGACACTGATGTTAGTTCATTTTCTTTGAGATTGCCTCTTCTGTCTCTTTCAGTTCTCTTCCCTGCCTTCTCTTCTCCCCCCCCCCCCTTTTTTTTTTTTTAATTTTTGTTAATCCTCACCTGAGGATATTTTTTCCTTGATTTTTAGAGAGAATGGGAGGGGGAAGGGTAGATGGGGGGAGAGAAAAAGAGAGAGAGAGTAACATTGATGTGAGAGAGACACATCAATTGGTTGCCTCTGGCTCTTATCCTAACCAATGGGCTGGGTATTGAACCTGCAACTCAGGTATGTGCCTCTGACTGGGAATTGGTGACCCTTTGGTGTGCCAACTCTCTAACCACTGAGAAACACTGGCCAAGGTGTGCCTTTCCCTTTTTATCTCACATTTTGCTAATGTTTAATCTTGAAAAATAATGTTTCCATTCTTTTCTCTTGCTGGTTTAAGATTTAGAGTCTTCATGAGGGTGAAGAGGAGAGAAATAAAAATTAAATGAAAAATATCTTTGAAATATTTTACCTTTCTGGATTTAATTTTTATTTTATTTTATTCTTACCTGAGGATATGTTTATTGATTTTAGAAAAAGAGGAAGAGAGAGAGAGAGAAACATTGATGAGAGAGAAATACTGCTTAGTTGCCTCCCATTTGTGCCTTGACTGGCTTTGAACTTGCAACCTAAGTATGTGCCTTGTCCGGAAATTAAACTTGTAGCCTTTTTGTATATGGGAGGGTGCTCCATTCAACTGAACCACCCAGCCAGGGCTAGTTTTTATATTTTATATATAAAAATAAATTTACTATATTGTCCTGTAAAATAATGGTGTTAAGTATTCTCATTTAGTTAAATGTCAGTTAGAAAAGGAGAACTTAAAAATATAGGTTAATGATTGAGCTGGCATGAGAGCCATTTTTGTGAGTCCCCTTTTCTCTGGCAGCCTTACCTCAAGAATTAAAAATATATATATATATATATCTTTATTGATTCCGTACTGGGGAACAAGTCCGCAACTGGGCATGTGCCCTGACCGGGAATTGAACCCTGTGACCTCTCGGTGCATAGGTGGATGCTCAACCAACTGAGCCAGACCGGGCACTCACAGGAATTTTTAAATTCTCTCTCTTTTTCTATGTGTGGTAAGAGGAAGAAGATATGTTTTTTATATTTTAAAGACAAAGCAGATTTAGAGATGATTCTTAAATTATTTTTCTGAAATAGTAAGTTTGTTTTGTACCAACCCTTAAAGCTCTTGGTTTATTTTCAGTTAATGTGTCATTTATGTTTTGAATTATTAGAGTTGGTAAAGCATCTATATTTTGTGTGAGAAGGTAGGAAGGTAAGGTGAATAATGATAGATAGTACCTGAAAGTATTTCAAGATAGCATTTCTTTCCTTAAAAATGTCTTTTTGAAATATTATAATTTATAGAAAATATCAGACACCTAATCTACCCACCAACAAGGTTAATCAAATATGAAAATTTTATTGCTTGCTTTAATTTTTCTTTTTATTAATAAATAAAATGTTATAGATACAGCCAAAGTCCTAACTAACTCCATATTCCTTTCCCTTCGTTACTGGGACATTATCTTGAACATATCATTTTAACTTTTCCATATGGTGTCTGATCTTTTAACTTTTAACTTTTAACTTTTCCATATGGTGTCTGATCTTTGTGTCTGGTATAGGCTAATCTGGTGTATATCCAATGATCTGGTTTAAAATAACCAACTTTACTTACTGTGTTTTAACTAATTATTGTGTTCTCTTTAGGAACATCTTCCAGAGCTCTTTGTACATTTTCAATCTCAGAGTTTTCATACCTCAATGTATGCATCATCCTGGTTTCTGACTATCTTTCTTACGACTTTTCCGCTACCAATTGCAACAAGGATATTTGATATCTTTATGTCTGAGGTAAGCTAATGGGTATTCTGAGAAAGGAATCTCTGGGTTAATTAGAGCAGGGCCGTGAGAACAAAGGAGCCAGGTGTCCCATGATAAATTGCTTACACGGAGGATCTCACTTAAACCTGTAACACCCCTGTCAGGTACTATTCATTTCCCCATTTGATAGACAGGGAGCCAAGATATAGGGAAATGTTAAGTGGCTAGTTTGTTTATGGACACATAGCCTATAAGTGGGTATAGTAACCAGGATTCAAATCTAGGCAATCAAAATCTGGAGCCTACACTCTTAAACCTCTGTATGACCTCCTGATTGATTTAGTAAGAATTAGTGAGTGATAAAATTTGCTTTACACTTAATATGTTGCAACGCAACTGCTATCCAAAGAGCCAGAAGTGATGAATCTAATTAAGTTTCTTCTTTTCCACGAACACCTTACAAGTAGCCCTTTAATTGTCATTAACATGTGGTAGGTGATCTTTTGTCTTTTGTATTTTGGATGAGAATATGGTAGGAAGGTAGGATAGGTGAAAAGTGGTAGATAGCTCCTATAGGTATAATTAATATTTTAATTACCTCTTAATCGAACCCAATGTTAATTGTTATTAATTACATCTTAGGAAGATTAATTTGTATTACTTAGCTAAATTAGTTTAAGTCTGGAGCCAGCAAATTGATTTGTGTATTGGTTTGCATGTCAAATCTGTCCTTCCACTTGTTTTTGTAAGTAAAATTTTCTTGGAACACAGCCATGCCCATTTGTTGATGTGTCTGCTTTTGGGCTACAATGGCAGAGTTGAGTATTTATGACAGTGACTGTATCGCCTACAAAACCGAAAATATTTACTATCCGACTCTACAGAAAATGTTTGCCAACCTCTAGTTTAGATTCCTAAATGTTTACCTTATTATTCTTTTGAATGATTGGTTTTGTTGATGGAAGAGTGAGACAAATTTGGCTTTCTGTGATTTGTTTCCTCAGGGTTTAGAGATAGTGTTTCGAGTAGGATTAGCACTTCTTCAAATGAATCAGGCAGAATTGATGCAACTCGACATGGAAGGGATGTTACAAGTAAGTCAGTTCATGATTTATTGAATGCCTTTAGATTTTACTATTAATTAGTTAATAATAAACAGCACAAGTAGTTCTTATGTTTTTCTTTTATTGCTTCTTAGCACTTTCAGAAGGTCATTCCACATCAGTTTGATGGAGGTCCAGACAAATTAATCCAGGCAGCTTACCAAGTCAAATATAACTCAAAAAAAATGAAAAAGTAAGTATTTTACATTTTCTTTTTTAGTAATAGGGATTTGTTGAAGCATATAGGAAATGAAATAAAAGTGGTAAAACAGTCTAATAATAAGTTCAGTTTCCCTCCTCAGTTTATACAACTGTAGTACTTTATTTGGTAGTAATGGTTTTATTTATTTATTATTTTAATTTAACTTTATGTTTTTTTTATCACAATTTGTCCATTCTATGCCTTCTTCCATTTCCACCCTTCCCAGTTCCCCCACTAAATCACCACACTTGTTTGGTGGAAATGGTTGTAATGTAACAAATTTAATATTGGAATTTCATACTGCTCTTCATAGCAGTACATGGGACCACTGTGGATTACCTTGAAAGCTCCCCTTTCCCATTCCATGGTAAATATATATGTGTAAGTGTGCTATTATTTTAAAAACCATTTTTATGGTGTGGTCCAATTCACTGACCTTCTTTTCCTCAGTTGACTCCAGAGTGTCATTTTCAAAGAACTTACGTTTCTAATTGCTGGGGTTTAAATGATGACTACAGCGGGAAGTCCCTCCTGTGGGAAACTTACAGAAGTACAAAAAACTGACCTAATGTCTGTGTGTGTGTGTGTGTGTGTGTGTGTGTGTGCGTGTGTGTATCCATCAGTGAAAGTGCCATATAGGAAAAATAAAGCATTTATAGAGCATGCAGGGATAGGATACACAGACTAACAAGGTGCATTTTGGCCTGATTGGTGTGCTTCTGGTTGAGCATCTACTTATGAATCAGGCGCTCAGTGTTTCATTCCAGGTCAGGGCACATGCCTGGGTTGTGAGCTTGATCCCCAGCAGGGGATGTGCAGGAGGCAGCTGATCAATGATTCTCATCATTAATGCTTCTCTCTCTTCCTCTCACTTCTTCTGAAATCAAGAAAAATATATTTAAAAAAATAATTCTAAAACCCGATAAAGACACTTAAAGAAAATTGTATGCCAATATCACTGATAAAACAGATACTGAAATCCTCAACAAAATATCAGCAAACTAGATTCAGCAATACATTAAAATTGAGATTTACCCGAAACTGGTTTGGCTCAGTGGATAGAGCGTCGTCCTGCGGACTGCAAGGTCCCAGGTTCGATTCGGGTTAAGGACATGTTACCTTGGTTGTGGGCACATTCCCAGTAGGGGGTATGCAGGAGGCAACTGGTTGATGTTCCTCTCTCATCGATGTTTCTAGCTCTCTACCCCTCTCCCTTCTTCTCTGTAAAAAATAAATAAAAATATTTTTAAAAATATTTTAAAAAATATTAAAAAAAAAGTAAGGTTTATTTCAGAGATGCAAGGGTGGTACAATATTCACATTCAATAAACAAACTGAAGGATAAAAGTCACATGATTATATCAATAGAAGCAGAAAAGCATTTGAAAAATTCAGGACCCACTTATGATAAAAACTGTCAGCAAAGTGGGAATAGAAGGATCATACCTCAACATAATTAAGGCTCTATGTGACAAACCCACAGCTAACATCATACTCAAATGCAAAAACTATAAGCATTTTCCTTAAGATCAGGAACAAGACAGGGATGTCTGCTTTCACCATTCTTCTTCAACATAATACTGGAAGTCCTAGCCACCACAGTCAGACAAGAAAAAGAATTATAAGGCAAGAAGTAAAACTCTCATTTTTCGCAGATGATGTGATAGTGTATATAGAAAACCCTAAAGACTTCATCAAAAAAAATATTAGGTCTATTTGACAAAGTATCAGGATAAAAAATATTCAGAATTTAGAACCATTTTTATACACCAACTAGAGGCCTGATGCACGGATTTGTGCCCCAATGGGGTCCGTTGGCCTGGCCTGCAGGGATCAGGCTGAAATCAGCTTTCTGACATTCCCCCAGGGGTCCTGGATTGTGAGAAGATGCAGGCCAGGCTGAGGGACCCCCTGGTGTGCGATCTGGGCTGGGGAGGGACTGTGAGAGGGCTCCAGGGTATGTCTGGCCTGTCTCGCCCAGTCCTGATTAGGACCAGTCAGGACCGTCTTGCCCAGTTCTGATCGGCCCCAATCCGGGAGGGACCATGGGAAAGCTTCAGGGCATATCTGGCATATCTCACACAATCCCGATCAGCCAAACTTCAGCAGCAAGCTAACCTACTGGTCAGAGCATCTGTCCCCTGGTGGTCAGTGTGTGTCATAGTGACTGGTCGAATGGTAAGACACTTAGCATATTAGGCTTTTATTATGTAGGATAATGAACTACCAGGAAGATAAATTGAAATAACAATCCCATTTACTATTACAACAACAAAAAAAGATACCTAGGAGGTAAAAGACCTGAACTCATAAAATTATATGACCCTAAAGAAAGAAATTAGGCCAAAACCGGTTTTGCTCAGTGGATAGAGCGTCGGCCTATGGACTGAAAGGTCCCAGGTTCAATTCCAGTCAAGGGCATGTACCTTAGTTGCAGGCACAGCCCAGTAGGGTGTGTGCAAGAGGCAGCTGATCGATGATTCTCTCTCATCGATGTTTTTAACTCTCCCTCTCTCCCTTTCTGTAAAAACAATCAATAAAATATATTTTAAAAAAAGAAAGAAATTAAGGAAAATATAAATAAGTGGAAGGATATACTGAATGGAAAAATTTACATCATTAAAATGTCCATACTTCCCAAAAGAATCTACAAATTTGTTGTATTTCCTACTTAAAATACTAAAGGCATGTCTCTCAGGTCTAGAATAAATATTCCAAAAATTTATATGGAACCACAGAAGACTCTGAATAGCCTCAGCCATCTTGAGATATCACACTACCTGATATCAAACTGTACTACAAGGCCTTTAGTAAGCAAAACAGCATAATATTGGTACAAGACCAGGCATATAGCCAATGGAACAGAATAGAGAGCATAGAAATAAGCCCACACTTGTATGATAAATTAATATTTGACAAAGAATGCAAGAACATTACAATAAATACAGTGAGATAAGACAGTTTCTTGAAAAAATTATGATGAGAAAGTTGGACAGAAACATGTAAAAATATGAAATGAGGCCACCAACTTACAGCATACATAAAAATAAACTCATAATGTGTAAAAAAAAATGTAAGTTGTGAAACCATAAATATCTTAGAAGAAAAAATAGGCAGTAAAATTTCAGATATTTCTTGTAGCAATATTTTTTTCTGATATATCTCCTCAGGCAAGGGAAACAAAATAAAAAATAAACAAATGGGATTACATCAAACTGACAAGCTTTTGCACAGCAAAAGAAACCAACAAAATGAAAAGACATCCCACTGAGGAGGGGCGGAGCTTGAAGATGGCGACCGAACAGTCGGACCTGTTCTGACTCTGGTCCCAGAACGGATAAAGGGGGCTTCTGAGTCACTCAGGGAGTGTTATTTGGCAGCTAAGGGACAGCGGAGCTCTCAAGGAGGGTAAGGGAGGGTCCGCTGGACAGGATTTCCTGAACAAGCGGGACGGCCGCGGCCGCAGCGGCGGAGGCAGCGAGCGGTGGGCTGCGGGCGTGGAGGAAGGGCTGCATTGTCCTGCCAGGAAGGAAAAAGCTTCTCTGAGGCGTGGAAAACGCACAGCCCGGAGGTCCATCGAGCAGCTGAGACTCCCAGAGCTGCGCAGACACGTGGATTCCGGGGAGATCTTCAGTCACCCACGGAAAGGTCAGAGTTTGCGGGGATAGCCTAAGGGATCTGGGTTCCGCGGCGGCGAGCTCCGGCCCCGCCTCCACTACGGCAGCCGGGGAACTCCGGCCCCGCCTCTGCTACGGTAGCCGGGGAGCTCCGGCCCTGCCTCCACTGTAGACGGGTGCGCGAACTACCGCCCGTGGAGGCGGAGCGGAGCCCAGAGAAGGCTGCAGCGACACCTAGTGCTGGGTTTGAAGTAATCCCCCCCAGAAGAGGGGCTTTTTTTTTAAAACGCCAGGGGACACGGGACAGAGTGTTAAGAATCGCGGCTGTCCCGCCAAGGGCGGAACATCTGGACACCTTGGCACCGGTTCCCATTCATCCCCTTGCTTCTGAATACTAGAGAAGAACTGCCCAGTTGGGCATAGCCGGGGAAATTGTAGGGGGAATTTGCCTTCTGGAAACAAGGGATTGGAGCCAGAAGACATAGTCCTGGAGCCAGCTAGAGCCATAGAGAAAGAAGGCCAGAGCAACCAAAAAGACTGGGAGGTCAAACCGGAAACACTGACACCTAAGAGCCGAATTACAAACTGCCCTTTTTTTTTTTTTTTTTTTTTTTTTCTCTTCTTTTTTCTTTTTCTTTTTTTCTTTTTTTCTTTTTTTTCTTTCTTTTTTCTTTTAATTAATCAAAAATAAACGGACACAAATAACTAAGATATAACCTGCTTAAAATTAAGATTTACCTTACAAAACTGAGGTGCAGTGGAATGCTGGGGACTGCAAGACTGTCTGGTCCGAGAATCAGGAGGGCCAAATACATTAACAGAGGAAGTGAATGACCACTACTGGACATTTTTATGCTAATTTTACTATTCTTTATTTTATTTTCATTTTTTACATCTTTAATTTTCACTTTTTATAGCATTTACTTAAGAAAAATTTTTTCTATTTTTTTCCTTACTTCATTTTACCTTTTCAATTATTACATTTTTCAATCTCTATCATCACTATTACTACTGCTATTTTGCAATTTTTGTTTCTTTCCTTTTTTTTTTTTTTTTTTTTTTTTTGTTCTTTGTTTTTTCTTGTTTGTTTGTTTGTTTGTCTGTTTGTTTCCTCTCCAGTACCATTTTTTTTTCTGTATTTTACATTGGGAATAACCTCCATTCTACTTTAATCACTACTATAGCATCATTCAACCCTATCTCAACTTGACCTTTACACCATCACTCTCTTACTAAACTTTACCCTTTTAGTTGACGGTTTATCCTATCCCTTTCCGGCTCTAGATTTTCCTCTATTCTTTCTGTATACCCCTTGCTAAAGCTCTCACTATACGTATAGACCTAAGTTCCAACCCCTGATCCAAGTGTATAAAT